TACCCCTGTTCACAGCCTCCTTGTAACTCGAGGACTTCGCAGCGATCATGTCCATGCTGAGCTTGCCGTCGGACGTGCACAGGCACTCGTGCGGTGAACGCGTGCCGCTGGCAGCGCACCGAAGACCCATATTGGTGTGGGAACACGTGAGCGTCAATATCTCTAAGGTCGAGCCTTGCGTCCGCGGCAAGAAGCCTTGTGATTGCTTGGAAAGGTTGGCCTGGAACTCGAGCTGCTCGACGCCCTCCACTCCAGGCGATACTTCGATCGCCCATGCACGCCTGCATTCGATATCGGACCAGCCCTGCTTGATGATGCGCAGCATGAGGTCGTGGACGTCGATGACGTCCACGCCCTGTGTTGCACGGTTTTGTGGGTGAGGGCCAGCTTTCTCTGGAGATTTAGTTGCCTGGTACATCAGCTTGTGGTCGCTGAGCAGTTTGACTATACCATCTGCTACCGATTTTTTCTGCGCCCTGTCGGAACCATGCTCGTGTTCGTCGATGATGGCGTTGACTTGCGGTGCAACTAGCTTGCACGCTGCCACAATCGCAGCGTCCATCGTGGTGAACAACCAAGGTGGACTTAGTCAAGCAAACTGCAGACCTCGTGAGCCAAAACGGCTATGCTGGAGGACAGGTCACGACCTGAACCTCCCCCAAAAAAAACAACAACATCACAGGAACGGTGAGAAACATCTCATTCCCAGACATCATCATATGGAAAATCTGAGCTCAACATGATCCCTCGAGAGGCCCCAACACAGCCTGGGCGCAGGCATGCGCACGAAAGCTGTGAGAGCTAAGTCCGACGCTATCTACTTATATCTTCCCCCCTGGACTTACTCAAGATAACCTATCCAGGCTATCTGGGCGCGCTAACTTAGAAACACATAGGGAACAAAGGATTCGCAGCAACTAGAAATAAGCAAGATGGCACCAAGATGGAACCAAGATGGCACCGACTTCCTATCTAGGCTATGTCCACCATCTGCAAACTAACCACAGCGGTGATCTCAGTAGTGTTGGACGAATCGCGGCTGACCGAACGCGAGAACGCGAGCGCCCGCGCATTGACGCCCCAATGGGGATCACGATAATATTGTTTCGCGCGACAGGGGACGCACTAAATTGCCTACCAATCGCGACATTGCGATCAGAAGCCGCCGCGCTAATGACACCGGCAGCAATGATAATTGAATAAACACCTTGGAGCAAGTAGCATTGCGACAACGACACCAGAGGCGCCTTTGCATTCAATAACACATCGAAGGTCGCGCAACCACGCGCGAGCCCCATGCGACACTACAGCGCGCAACATCATGATGAACGCAACAGTACACAAGCAAACACGTATGCGCGCCTGCGCGTGCTATCCTATGGCCTAAGTTACACAGGGCATAGGAGGGAGCGGACTGGAGGAATCTAAGTGGATTGGGAAAGAGCCGGATAGAGCCGGAATGGGAAAAGAAAAAAATGATTGGGAATGGTGGAACGAAGACGAACCCCCCCCAAAAATAACGGAATGCGAACATAAGAGAATCATTTTATGCCGGTGAACCCGCGCAACCAACCGCGCCAAGCCAGCCGGGCACGCTGCCCGCCGGCCTGGCCGAATTTTCTTTGCCCTTCACAATTTTGTTTCCTTCGCGTTATTGATTTTCCTTTTTTCCCGTCTCTTAGCCCTCTTTTTTTTTGTTGTTGTTGTTTCCCCTCCGTCTGTTTCGTCAAGTTGTTGTCTTTTTTTCCGTTTTTTTTCATTTTTTCCCCGCTCACAGAAATGATAGATACCCCCCCCCGGGTTCCGTCAAAATTTGGCGCCAAGCCACCAACATTGCGATGCGTCTTGAATTCGGCCGGCTTGGATGATTGGTAGTCGTGAAAAAATCGAAAACCACACCAATTCCTAACCGTTGGCGTATTGCATCAACCATTCCAAATTTCGGTATCAAGAGTAATCTTCGGTACCGACGTATTTGCTCACGAACAATGGTTCCAATATATATATATATATATATATATATATATATATGCATGCGTACACATATATATATACATGTATGTATGTATGTATGTATATATATATATATTATATATATATATATATATCAAACCTGGCTTGTGCATGCATCCTGCATATTTGTATATATATATATATATATATCCGCATTTACAAAAACATATACATCTACATATACCTATACATATACACACATCTTTTTATATATATATATATATCACAAACGAATTGCGGCCAAGAGCCTCGGCGCAAAAAGAATGGAAAACGCGGCGCCTGAAAAGGGGAACAGTTCGGCCTGGGTCCTTTGCGTGGCGATTCGTTTTGGAGTCTGCGCGTTCCCCAGAAGATCCGAAGGTCCTTGCCTTGGTGCCCGTATTGCTTATGGTTTGGCCGAGGAACTTTTGGACATTTCAGATTTTGCGCGAATTTTTCCCGCGTGGAGGTGCGAGGGCGGTGCAGGGCACAACCCGTCGGGTGAGATCACAACCGGACGGTTCAGATCCCAACCATCAAGGACATGTGGGGCGGGTGCTATCATAACCTCTTTGGAGCTCCTAAGTGGTTTTGCGACAAGTTTTGTGAGAGATGTCAGCCTGTGAGAAGTTCTGTGGGAGGTTCGGAGAGCCTGTGAGAGGTTCAGTCAAAAGGTTTTGAGAGCCTCTGGGAGGTCTGAAAGCCTCTGAGGTTCTCAGATCTTCTGAGAGTTTCTGAGAGCCGCTGAAAGATTCTGAGAGCCTCTGAACAGGCTGTGGGAGCTTCTGAAAAAGGTTCTGGGAGCTCCTGAAACAGGTTTCGGGAGATTCTGAACGGTTATGAGTTTCTGACAGGTTCTGAGAGCTTCTGAAAGCTACTGAGGGATTCTGAACGGCTGTGTGATATATTCGGAGAGGATCTGAGAGATTCTGAAAGGTTGTGAAGGGTTCTGAAAGGTTTTTGAAAGTTTCGGAGATTCTGAAAGGTTCTGGGAGGTGCAGAGGGGTTCTGTGAAAGGTTCTGAAAGGTTCTGTGAGAGGTTCTGAGAGTCTCGGAGAGGTTCTCTGTGAGGTTTTGAAAGGTTTGGATAGAGGTTTCGATAAAGCTTTTGAGAGGTTCGGAGAGAAGTTTTGTGACAGGTTTTGAGAGTGGTTCTATGAGAGGTGACTGCTACTACTACTACTGCTGCTGCTGCTGTTACTACTACTCTACTATGAATACGACTACTACTACTACTACTACTATTATTACTACTACTACTACAACGACTAGTACTACAACTACTACTACTGTTACTACTACTATTACTACTACTACTACTACTACTACTACTACTACTACTACTACATTTACTACTACTACTGCTACTACTACCACTACTACTACTACTACTACTACTACTACTACTGTTACTACTGCTACTACTGCTACTACTACGACTACTACGACTACTACTACTACTACTACTACTACTACTACTACTATTGCTACTAACGCTGCTACTACTACTACTACTACTACTACTACTCCTACTAATGCGACAACTACTGCTACTACTTCTACTTCTACTACAGCCTGTACTGCTACTACTACCACTTTTGCTACTACCACGGCTACTACTACTACTACTACTACTACTATTACTACTACTACTACTACTACTACGACTACTACTACTATTACTACTACTACTACTACTACTATTACTACTACTACTACTACTACTACTACTATTACTACGACTATTACTACTACTACTACTACTACTACTACTACGACTACGACTACGACTACGACTGCGACTACTACTACGACTACTACTACTACTACTTTTACGACTACTACTGCTAGTGTTACTTTTCCTACTATTCCTACGATTCCTATGATCACTAGTACTACTACTACGACTACTACTAGTACTACTACTACGACTGCTACTATGACCAACGGCGCTACCAGTTGTGGTGGCCTCCTGCCCCACGACGCCCGCCCAGAAATGCTTTTGTTACCTCGCAGGGGTCACTGGCTGTGGCAGCCATGCTAGTGTTCACCGCGTTCGTGTTCTTGCTTCTCTCCCCCTTTAATATCTTCTGTCCCCATCCTCGAGACGCAGAAATCCCAGAGTACCCCCACTCAGCGCGGCTTCCTGGCGCCCCTCGATGGCAAACCTCCATCAGGTATTGCCCCGTAAAACCGTGAGACCTTACGGGGGGGTCTCGTTGGGGCGCCATCCCCGCTCGCTGCCCTGGGGGCCGCCAGCGCCAAAAAGAACGAAACAACCAAAAGGGAACGTTGGCGCCCTAGGGCCGAGGCCACGGGAATCGCACAGCGGACGTGCATTCGGTCTGTAACCAGAAGATCTCTCGTTTGAAAGTTTTTGCTCCCGCTCTCCGCAGAATGCCTCCCGCTGCCTTCCGGCCGGGGCATGCGTCTCTTCAGGCCCGACGCAAGGGCCGTGCAAGTCGCGCGCCTCGGCGCCCGAGGGGCCCCCTGGTATCCGACGCAGCAGCCGCAGAGGCTCATGCTGGGTGCTAAAAGCTGAGCTGAAAAGCAAAGGTTCGTCTGGAAGTTGGACAGCGCTTCGCGATCAAGGCAGCCCACCTCTATGGTGAGTTGACTGGGTTGCCCTTGCCGTGAAGAATCTTCTGTTGGAGAGAGGCGAGCTGGGAAATGAAGGCTGGCTGCGCGGCTAGGTTCGCTTGGAAATTCGGGGGGGCGCTTCGCGAGCAAGGCAGCTTAATTCTATGGTGAGTTGACTGGATTGCCCTTGCCGTGATGCTTCTTCTGTAGGAAAGAGGCGAACTGGAAAATCAAGGTGGGCCGCGCGGCTCCTCGCGCGGCCCTGGTGCTCCAGCGCCTCTTCTTCGTCGGCTTCTCCCTCCCCCCGCTTCGGCCGGCTCCTCGGCGGCGGCCTGCTCTTTCAGGGGGCCCTTCCTCTCTTTGATCGTGCGAATCGCCTCCTCCGCCAGCGCCGCCGTCAACGCATCCGGCCCAAGATTGTTGCGCAGCTATTGGAACTCTTCGCAATGGTTCTTGAGCGTCGCCTTCTTGGCGGGAATGTCTGCGCGCGATCTCCGGCTCTTGGCTTTAAACGCCTTGAGCTTCGCCCGCGCCGCCTCCAGCGGTTCCGCGTCGGGCTCCTCGACCTCCTCCTTCTCCGGCGTTTCCCCGTCCGTGTCTGAGAAGTTCAGGTCCAGGACGGGGGCTGCGGCGGCCCTGCCAGGCAGCGACGGCGTGGGCCTCTGCGCCTTCGCCCGCACGTCCAGGCCCTTGCTCACTTCGGCGACGAGGTGTTCCATGAGCTTCTTCGCCGAGGCTGTTTTTTTTGTAGCTCCGCCAGCGGGTTCTCCGCGAGCGCCTTCTGGCCCCGGAGTTTCTCGGACAGGGTGCCTGGCGCTGTCGCGGTGCTTGCCGCAAGGAAGTCGGACAAATCGGTATGCAGGCCGGACGCGCGCCCGAAGAACTCGGACCAATAAGCCCAGTCCTTCCGCACTTCCGTGGAGAAGAGGAGAAAGTTCTGCGCGGTTTTTTTGACGGACTCGGAGCTGCGTGTCTCGGACGGGAAGTCCTGACTGTTGAGCTGCCTTGTCGTTTGGTCCAGGTCGAGCTGGACCCACAGCTTCTTCCACTCTGTCTCGACTGCAGGGTGCAAGAACTCTCTCGCCACCCCGTCCCTGACCATGAAATCGAAGTGGCGCAGAGCACCCGCCGCCATGGACATGCCGATGAAGATGCGGGTGGAATTTTACAGCTCCGTGTTCTCCCCTTTCAGCATGGTGGAGAGCGCCTCGGGGGTGAGGTAGGTCTCTGGGTTCTCCAGACAAAACCACACGGAGTCGTTGGCGTCCGACTTGTCGTCAACGTTGACGGCAAGAGGGTACTTGAGCAACGTCTTCACGTGCTTGTGCCGGAGCATGGCGTCCCAGAGCTTGTCGCCGGGAGACCACCTCTTGGGACCAGTCTGCTTTTGGCCGTGGCCGCGGGCGACGCGAGCGATCGGCTGGGCCATCCTGAAAGAGATGGGAGGGCGACGAAGCAGATGCGTGAAGAAGCGAGCAAGCGCCGACGAACACCGAACGGTTCTGAGCCTGGGCGGATACGGAGGAGGACGTGGGGCGAGGGAGGGCGTACCCTCAGCGGATGCTCTTGCCTTCGGGGGCGGGGTGGGTTCGGAGGTGAGGACATGGATATCCAAAGGCATTGCAGAACGACAACAATTACTATTACTACTACTACTATTACTACTACTACTACTACTACTACTACTACTACTACTACTACTACTACTACTACTACTACTACTACTACTACTACGACTACTACTACTACTACTACTACTACTACTACTACTACTACTACTACTACTACTACTACTACTACGACTACTACCTACTACTACTACTACTACGACTACTACTACTACTACTACTACGACTACTACTACTACGACTACTACGACTACTACTACTACTACTACACACACCACCACCACCACCACCACCACCACCACCACCACCACTACTACTACTACTACTACTACTATTACTACGACTACTACTACTACTACTACTACTCTACTACAACAGCAACAACTACTACTACGATTACTATGAATACTACTACTTCTACTACAATATTACTACCACTTGTCTTTCTATTGCTACGTCTACTAATAATACTATTGAATCGATTATTATTGCTACTACTACTGCTGCGACTATTACGGCGACGGCGACTACTACTTTACTGTTACTTCTATTTCTACTACTATTTTACTACGACACATATGTGTAGTCTTTTTAATAATATATATATATATAAACAAAAAAACACGCGATATCCCAACTGCAATATCTCATGCGGGAATCTGGTCTTGTAAGTTGGCCATTGCAATTTCAAATTGCAACGACCGGGTATGATAACACTTCAATATGGTTTTTCATTGATTTTCTCTTCGATTGTGATCTGACCGTGCCTTTGCTGGGCGGTTGTGATCTCAACCGTCCAATTGCCCTCGAAAATTCGATAAGCGGGGGCGCGTTTGGCCAAAAAATTGCCAACCATTTTGCGACGCTGGATTTCGCGCTTCCCTTGCAAGAGAATTACGCCGCAATGGGGGCAATAAACAAAAACGCCAACGCCTCAATGAGAGACATCTCCGTGAATGCGATTCAATTGCCAACGGCGAACCCAACCAAATGCACGCGACAACTCAGCAGCATAGCGTAACAAACATTTGTGCCCAATGAAAGTTCGACAAAACATTAAGCTGGAAGAGGAAGAAAAATGTGGGCATTCTTGACTATTTTGGAGCAGTCGTTTGTTGTTTTCGGGCGATCTTCAAATTCATCTTGGATGTCTGGGGCGGGCTTGGGCTATTTGGCGGCCGTTCAAAGATCGACCATAGAAACGCATTCGGTCGCGCTCGCTGAGGGTATTTGCGCGGCGATTCCTGGAATCCCCTCCGAACTGGCGAGAAGCATTGGCGATGCGAGCCTCGCTGCAGATCTTTAATGGCTAATGGCTCTTTCGGCGCGTCTCGGGCCCCTCTTGGGGCCACTAGGGCGTCCTGAGTGTTTCTCGTGTAGGCCGGTTTGGGGCTGTCTTGAACGTTTCTTGAACCGTTTTCGGGCCCTCTTAGAAGCCTCTTCGACTGCTTTGGGGCGGCCCGTGGGAACTTCTTCAGCCATTTTGGAATTATGGCCTTGAGAATGATTAAACAAATTCTGCTTTGCACCCCTTCCTGGCGCGGACTTGGACAATTTATAGTGGAAAGCAGATGCTAGAGATTTGAATCTGCAAGTGGCGCGCGGAGCAGCAACCTCGCTCAGCAATCTCGCGGTCCAACACAACCACTACGAATGTACGTGGTGCGTGCGCTCGTGAAATGCACGTCGCGCCTCCTTGCGAATCTTTTCGGGGCCTCCAGGTTGAATTTTTAACGCCCTGAGCCGGCCCGGGGGCCGGCCCCGGGCCCAAAAAGATGGAGGGAAAGGGCGTCCGAGAAGAGTCGGAAAGGAGCAAACGCCCAAGAAGACAATGGGTGATTTTCCGAGAGGAGAATCGAAAAAGTTGGTCGGTGAAGAGAACAGAAGAGGAGAAACAAGAGAGATAATCGGAGAAGAGAATCGGGAAAAAGAACACGAGGGGAATATCGCAAAGCAAAATTTGAGACGAGAGTCCGAAAGGATAACCCGAGAGAATCAAAAAGAAAAAGGCGCGGTAATACATCGGAACTGATACATTAATCCGTGAAAAGGGGTCGGAGAGGGGGGTCGGAATAGAGAGTCTGAGAAGAACATCGGAACATCGGTGAAGAGAGTCCGAGAAGACAGACCGAGATGAACAGGCAACAATAAAAACCGTAATATAATCAAGAAACACAACAAGCATAAAACATACGTCGGATAAGATAATCGGAAACGAGGCCGAGACGAGAGTCCGAGAAGACAATTGGAAAAGGGAACAAAGAGAGAGAGAGAGAGAGAGAAAGAGAGAGAGAGAGAGAGAAAACAAAAAAAAAGAGAGAGAGGGAGAGAGAGAGAGAGAGAGAGAGAGAAAGAGAGAGAGAAAAGGAGAGAACGAAAAAAAACAGAGAGGGGAGTGGGACAAGAGAATCGGAAGAGTCGGACAAGAGACCTCGAAAAGAAGGTCGGAGAGGGGTGGGGTGGCAATTGATGCGGTAGTGTGGAATGGAGGACTTGCCACGCAGAACAAATCCGGGGACAAAAACGAGCGAGGCGTGGAGGAATGGGAAAGGGGGGGCGCAAAGGTGTGGTGAGTGGGGGGGAAATGAGCGGCATGATGTGGAATCGTGGAATAGATTGGCTTGGATTGGAGTGGGGAGGAATGGGGATGAAAAGCGGCGCGGAGCTGGAAGGGACGGGGGGAATATGGCGCAACTGGACGCAAAAATGTGCCACTTGCCAACGAAACGCGAATACAGCCAAAGTCGAGTATCCCCAAACAGCGCTTTGAGGGGCCAGAAGTCCTTGACCGTTTCGCGTGAGTCTCGGGGCTTCTCGCGTGACTCCTCCCGAGGCCAGACAGCGGCATAACCATTTGGATCGTTTCTGGCTAGGTGAACGCATGGTACAACAACGTAATCGTGACATATTTCGGGGATCGCAATTTCATTGTTCCTAGCCCTCCTGCGTTGGGTAACTGTGTTGAATCGAACACTGTGCGCGTGTCCCCTCCGCCTTCCGCCTCCGTCCTCCTCTCCTTTTCTTTCCTGCCTCTTGCCTCGTTTTTTCCTGCGTGCCAGCCCGCCTCCTATCCGGCCACCCCTGGGGGGCTGAGATCTGCGAAATTGCAACCATTTTAGAGGTCTGTCCGGGAACGCGGAGGCGCCATCCTGGGGGGTTGCGATCGGCAGATCTGTTGTCACTTTCCAGGGCAATTGGAAACATCGGTCCAGCTGGGTGACGTCTTGCGCAGACCACCAAGAAACTTCGTCATCCATGGAGGGCTGCGACCTGCGAAACATTCACCATTCTCGACGGTTGCGGGGGGTCGGTGCGACGTTTTCCACGGGCCAGAGACCTCGTCATCCTCGGGGGCCTGCGATGTGGGAATATGTTGCCGCCGCGGAAGGCTGCTTGGGGGTCTAGCGGAGTGGCGTCTTATGCAGACTACCACGGGGCCTCGCCATCCCTGGGGAACTGCGATCTGCGAGATTGCAGCCATTTCAAATGGTTGCTGAGGGGCCTCTGGCGGAGTGGCGTTTTCCACGGACCACCAAGAGACCTCGCCGTCCTTGGGGGGCTGCGATCTGCGAAACGATCGCGACTTCAAATGTTGCTGGGGGATCCAGCGGAATGACGTCTTGCGCGGGCCACAAGGAGACCTCGCCATCCAGGGGGCTGCGATCTGCGAAACTGCCGCCAATTTAGGAGGCTGCTGATGGGTCTCGCGGGGGGACATCTTACGCAGACCAAGTAACATTTCGCCATCCCTGCAGGGCCCGTCGGCCGGGCCATCTCCCATGCCGAACTCTTGATGTCCACGGCCTGCCATGGCCGCGCCATGCATCGCCGTGCCGTTTGAATGTAAAAACATTTCATTTGCTTGAACTGTCTCAACTGTAAACAAACCAACACAACAACCAACTTTCGTCGATTAAAAGGTATCTCCAAGAAAATCTCCATTGACACCAACAGAAATAAGTTAGGTTTGGTTTGTGAGGATGAGGAAACACATGTGAAATTTGTGGCTGCGTTCATACGTGATGCTGTCCAGGGCAACGAACCCAATGTTGATGCGCGACGCTGCCCTGGACTTCCTGGCCCACGGTCCGCCCGCAAACTTGGCGGCAAGCCCTCGAGCGTTTAGTCCCCGCACTGACAAGTGCAAGGGGGAATCGGAGAAGCTTGCGGGCGAGCTTGGCCTGGCTCGCTTCTTGCATTTACTATAAGCATGTGTATTTTGACGAGCGCCTCGGCGACATGGCGCAAGCAACGCTGCATCTTTATCGTACAACCGACAACACAATGCGTCGGTCTCCAGCCGCCACTTTCGTCGTCGTCTGCCCCTTGCCGCCTTCCCTCGGTTGCTGCCGCGCTGGCAATTCGGCCCCATCGCGCGTCTTTTTCCTGCCCGTCGCTCCCGCCCCCCATGTCTTCTTTGAGCCCGGGCCCTCGCTCCTCGTTCTTGTGTTGTTGTCGTGGGTCGTGCCGCGTGAACGAACCTCTACCTTTGCCCTTGTGTTCTGTG